AATTTAAAATAGTTTTAGTTAACCTAGAGATTCAAAAATAGATATTTGAAAAAGCTAAACATTTGTCTAGTTAATTGTTTAAAAATGACATTTAAAAAAAATCTACTAGAGATTAAAATACAAAGAAAAGTGAAAATATTAAAAAGGAGATTTAAAAAAAGCTAGACTTTATAAAAAGTTAAAGATTTTAAAGGTGCGGTATGCACGTTTTGACCCTTCTAAGGCATAAAAATATCCTAATATGATATTTCAGAAACATGCTCAGGGAACATTCTTGTTTATCTGAAACGCATTGCTGAAGTCAGATATTCTGCTTTGAGAATGTGCATTACAAGCCGGAGCATCTGTCTTGGTATTGGTCTCTTTAACCCGCCCACTGCCAATTTAACCAATTATATTCCAGCACTCTGGGTTTCCTTGGTGGAAGACAGCGTATTTCATTCAGTCAGTCATGAAAGCTCTCAAAGCATGTTTCCATGACTGAAATGCGACCTCTGGTGGACTGTAGCTGCCTGAAATAAGACGCAGATTCAGAGTTCCACATGAGGTGGTTATTATTAGCAAATAATATAAATATTATGAACGTTAGCGTTAGGTGAGCAGGTCACATTGTAACCCCGTGTCCTAACAACACACTACATGACGAGAAATGCTGTGATAAACAATTAGGCTTTTTTCACCAGACGAAACATGACAGAAATGTAAACACAGCCATTCAGAAGCACAGAATATTGCACTCACTGCACTTCAACCAAATGGTGAGGTTTATAATCATATTAAACCTCTTTAACATGATTAAATGTAGATGCTGAATCACTTATATGTGTTGGTTTCAAATCTAAAGCTCAATCTCAGACGGGTTATTTTATTCTCCAGATCTGAGCTGAACTATCTGCTGCTGCTTTCAGTAGTATGCCAATAAATGTGATGTAAAATGGCATTGTTAACACTGAATAAAGCACATGAGCTGCACCTGAGCTGATCATTGTCAGTTTTCTGTTGTTCAGCTGTGAGAAACAGAAGCCGTTTCTAATATATACATTTCAGATGTTGGTTAGAACAAAAACCCTCTTATAATATCTCAAATATTCCCTCTATCTCGTGCTGTTGCTTTCATTTAAAACACGATTTAAATCAGCCTTTAGGCTCAAAAGTCAGGCACACTATTGTTGACGTTGTCAGCCTGCGCTTGTGTGTTTTCAACCAAGAGTGCAATACCTAGTTCAGCCACTGAGTGTCAAACTTACATCCTGCACCTTTAAATACTGATATAAAACAAGCTCTTTTTAAAGTAGATTTGAAAAAGCTAGAACATGTATTTTAACTTGATATTACAAAAAGCTAGAGATTAATAAAATAAATTAAAAAATCTAGATTGTTAGAAAATGTAGATTCAAGAAAGTTACAGATTTTTTAAGCTAAATATTACATTTTTATTAAAAGAAAAGAAAGATGAAAATGATAGCTTACAGAGAATACCTAGACATTTTAGAGATTATAAAAAGCTATATTTTTAAAATAGAGATTGTTTAAAAAATAGATTAAAAATATTAGTTTTTAAGCAAGAGATTAAATTAAAAAAAATTAAGCTTCAAATAAAAACTAGAGACTTTTTAAAAGTTTTTATTCTTAAGGTTTGAGAAAAAAAATGATAAAGAAAAGTAAAAAACAAAAGGGTAATGTAAAAAAAGCATTCACCTCACGGAACGTTCCTTTAGTTTTCCAGATCTGAAATAAGATCCCCAGAGGAATGCAAACCATCGAGGACATGGCCATCATCCAGCCGATGCCGTAACCCCAGTCTGGATACGTGTACACATTATTATACTTCAGCGGCTTATACTTGATCAAGAAGAAGAGGAAGATGCCCTGAAACAGACCATCATGTGGACAGACGTTAAACACTGATATTAACAATGGTATTATTGACATTAACACTGTTCATAACATTGATATTAACACTTACGTTAATACTGACATTAGCACTGATATTACTGACATCAACACTGATATTAACACTGACACTAGCACCAATATTAACATTAACACTGACATTAGCACTGACATTAACACTGATATGACTGAAAGTAACACTGACACTAACAAAATTAACACTGACATTAACACTGATATTAACACTGATATGACTGAAAGTAACACTGACACTAGCACCAATATTAACACTGACACTAGCACTGATATTACTGATATTAACACTGACATTAGCACTGACATTAACACTGATATGACTGAAAGTAACACTGACACTAACAAAATTAGCACTGATATTAACACTGATATGACTGAAAGTAACACTGACACCAGCAACAAAATTGACACTGACACTAGCACTGATATTAACACTGACACTAGCACCAATATTAACACTGACACTAGCACTGATATTAACACTGGTATGACTGAAAGTAACACTGACACTAGCACCAATATTAACACTGACACTAGCACCAATATTAACACTGACACTAGCACTAATATTAACACTGGTATGACTGAAAGTAACACTGACACTAGCACCGATATTAACACTGACACTAGCACTGATATTAACACTGGTATGACTGAAAGTAACACTGACACTAGCACCGATATTAACACTGACACTAGCACTGATATTAACACTGATATGACTGAAAGTAACACTGACACTATCACTGATATTAACACTGATGTTACTGACAATAACACTAGCACTGATATTAACACACACATTAACACTGACACTAGCACAGATAATAACACAAACATTAACACTTAATATTGCGGTCATTAACCATGATATTAATACTGTTGTTAACACATTGACTCACTGTGCAGATGCCCGGTGTGAAGAACTTCCAGCACCACTTGATGAAGAAGATGGGTTTATATCCAATCATGTCCTCAATGTTCAGATAAAACCTGTCGCTGCCTGCACAGAAACAGCAACAACGCCATTATTCACTGCAGTAAAGCATCTATATTTACAACAGTTATACAGCATCACACTGATGTTTGTCCATGCACTTCTGCCAGCATTTTAATAGATATTTGACAAATCTAGAGCTAAAATAAACAAAAATGACAAAAAAGATGAAAATTTAATATACACTAAATATAAGCAAGATAGAGATTTTGACAATAACTAGAATAAAGTTAAAGATTTAAAAAAACATCAATTAAAATGCTAGAGATTGAAATAATTAAGATTAAGAGAAAGAAACAAAGATTTAAAAAGCTAAAATACATATGTTTAAAAACCTACATTAAAAATATAGTTTTAAAAATAGGATTTAAAAGCTAGATATGTAAATAAAATTAGATTTTATAAAGCTAAAGAATTTAAAACAGAACTAGTTTTTAAAAAGCTAAAGATAAAAATATATATATAAAAAGCAAAACATAAAAATAGCTTTCCCAGGGATGGGTCGTGGCTGGAAGGGCATCCGCTGCGTAAAAAACTTGCTGGATGGGTAGGCGGTTCATTCCGCTGTGGCGACCCCGGATTAATAAAGGGACTAAGCCGACAAGAAAATGAATAAATGAAGATAAAAATAGCTATTTTAAAAAAAAGAGTTTTATAAAGCCAAGCATAAAAAATACTAATAAAAAAAACATATATAGATATTTATTTACATACAAATATAGATTATTCATTTTTTAAAACGAATTTAAACAAGCTAAAGATAAAAAAAAAACTAGATTTAGTTAAAATAAGAGAAAGCTAGATTTAAAAAAAGATTTCTAAATACTGTATATAAAAATACATTCTATAAAAATAGGAGCTATATAATTTTTAA